ACGAGTCCTTGGAGAGAGGAATGTCATGTTTGGGAGGTGGAGGGACAGCGCAGGAGAGGAAGACCCTCAATGAGATGGGGTGATTTAGTGACTGGGGTCATAGGGGTAGATGTGTCAGAAACAAAAAGATCGGCACAGGACAGAGTAGGGTTTCGGGCTGTTGTAGGGTTGCTATGAGTCACAGGCAACTTGACAGCACATAACAACAATTCTAATTTGTTAATTTGTTCTTGCAACTGCTGTTCTTTCTTAGCCAAGCTTCCTCAAAGACTACAGATTCCACTCAATCTTTCATCTCCCAACTATCAAGATCAAGGCTCCACATCAAGATACCACTAAAACTCTTCTGGCCAAGCATATTTATTGTCCAGCTCTCAGATGCACAGCAAGTGATTGGAAAGACTGATCAGGTGCACCTTGGTCTTTAGAATGATGTCACTGCTCTTCAAGATTTGGAGCTACCCTAACAGCAGACTTTTCCAGTGCTACATGTCTCCTGATCTCCTGACTTCTGGTAATAAATGTGTTGACTGTAGATTCAAGAAAGATGAAATTGGTGACAATTTCAATCTTTTCTCCATCATGATGTTGCCTATTGTTTCAATGGTGAGAATTTTTTGGGTTTTGATATTGAGCTATAATCCATATTGATAGTTGCAATCCTTGACCCTCTGTAGCAAGTGCTTCAGGTCCTTCTCACTTTCAGCAAGCAAGGTTGGGCCTTCCTCCAATCCTGATGCCACATGCTTCTTCATGTAGCCCAGCTTCTCAGAGGATTTGGAATTCAAAAGTAGGAAACAAGGAAGAACGAGTAGTTGGAAAATAGTACCTTGGTGGTGGAAATTTGGCTGGAGATCATATCACAGAATACAGTTTATTCATTATCAACATTTTTTCAATATATATGTTTATTTTTTTTATTTGAATGAAAGTTTACAGACTTTAAAGTTTCCAATCATTCACTGTTACACTTTCTCCCTGCCCACTCCTTCCCGCAACTCAGTTATCAACATTTTTTTTAACTCTCACATAAGCAATGACTACTCATGAGGAGCCAAGGTGGCACCGTGGTGAAAGAGCTCAGCTGATAGCAGAAAGGCTAGCAGTTTATGCCCACTAGCTTCTCCTGGGAGAAATAGTGGGTGGTCTGCTTGTGTAACGAGTTACAGCCAAGTAAGACAGTTCCATTGTGTCCTGTGTAGTCGCTGAGTTAGAATCAACTCAACATACGTGGGCTTTTTGGTTTTATACATGTGGACTCTATCAGCTGGAAAGCACAAATCTATTATACCTACGGAAGAGAGATGTAATAGATTTGATCCCTATAACCAGAAAAAATATTTACTGATGGTTTCTTGGCTATGCAGTCATTATGTGGATCACAATAATTTGTAGAGAACATTGAGAAGAATGGAGATCCTAGAATGCTTTTCTTGTGTGTCATCTGGAATCTGAAAAAGAACCTTGAAAAACTAGGGGGGGGGGACTACTAGGCAATACTACTTGGTTTAAAATTAGGAAAGGTATGCATCGATTTGGAGCTTTTTATCATTTTTCAGTCTGTAAGCTGAACAATAACAGAAAAAGCTGGACGACACATAGAAGAAATGTGGCATCAGAATTATTGGATGAAGACTCATCATCTACTTGCGATAGGCAGGTGACATTACCTATGTTGTACGTGAAGAGAATCTGAAACACTTACTGAAGAAGATAAAAGAGTGCAGCCTTCAGTATGGACTATACTCAATGGAAAGAAAAAAGCCTCAAAACTGGACAGCATCATTATAAATGGAGGAAAGGCTGGTGTTGGCAATAATTTTATTTGAGAACCAACTCATACCTGACCCTCCAGTAGGTTTTTGGGAAGTTGTAAACCTCACTGGAGGAAGTTGTCCATATTCTTCCTGTAGAGCGCTGGTGGATTCAAAGCATGACCTTTGGTTTAACAGCACTCCTCCCTATGGATTACGCCATCAGAGCCCATAACTGCAGAGCCAAAAAGCTAAAAAACAAAACAAAACAGGACTGAAGAACTCAAAAAACAAAACAAAACAGGACTGAAGAACTCACAGGTGAAACAAAGAATGGGGTGGGATGTGGAGATGAAAAGTGCCTAGAGTTGAGGCCGTCTCTGGAAATCAGCCCTGAAAATACTCTGCTCCTCAAGACCACTCTCTGCAGAACTGAAGCATTTTGGAATCATTCACCAAGAAAACGCCCAGTCACCTGGCAGCACACTTAACTTTCATGCTCACCTAACCAGCAAAATATAGAAGTTTGGCACCAGCTAATTTTTGGTAATAATCTTAAAAACCAGCTCTAAAATTTGCTTGCTTGGTATTTTACAGAAGAGCATAGCAAGCCAGATTTTGATTTGTCTGTTTTTTGGTTGATTGGTTGGTTTCCCCCCTCTACCACCATTTTTAATTTTTTATTTCACAGTCAGGGTTCCAAGCTGTCAAGGAAAAGATTTGTTAGGGATTTTGTATAAGAAAACATGATATAGATGCTGATTCACAACAACCTGGTTTTCACAGGCCGACAGAGGGTATAGTTAAGGGTAGGGGTGGAAGGTGGCTAGTCACCATAATTTTTTTTTTCATTGAGTCATATAGAACACTCTGGTGGTACTGTAGTTAAGGCATTCAATTGATAAAAAAATTGTTGGGAGTTCAATTCCACAAGCAAGTCTGCAGGGAGTGGTGGTGGTCTTGTGGGTAAGGAGTTGCACTGTCAACCAAAGACAAGCAGTTTGGATCCATCAGCTGCTTTTTGGGAGAAAGATGGACAATCACCTCCCATGCAATTAATGGCCTCTGAAAACTGATTATTTAAGAGAGAAAGATGAACAGAATCCTCTCATAAAGATTTACAGCCACAAAAACCAATGGGAGGTAACTATATGAGTTGGAACAACTAAAAGGCAGTGGATTTGGCTTAGTTTTCCTTTAGTTATCTGTGGGCTTTCCCCCTGCTTCCAAATTGCCTTAAAACAAGAACTATTTTATAATCATAAAAAAAAAAATTGTGAGTAGTGAGCTGCCTCCATGAAGACTGTGAAAGCAAGTTCTGTGGGAACCTTCTACTCTCTTAACACATGATATCTAGCTAACACAGCTGCGAGCAAAACCACAGAGCAGGCTGGTGAGTACTAGAGAGAAGACAAAGCAAACTTAACTCCATTCACCAAGTGCCACAAAAATACAAATAAAATTAAAACTCCAAGAGTGGCTTTGCAACAGTTGCCTCTCACTAATACCTGCTTTTTGTGGACCCGGCGCGCTGCCGTGCACACCGGTCCACTCCGTTCCTGGCTTTGAAACTGGTGGAGCCGAGGTCCAGAGTGCTCAGCACTATGGGCTCGCGGAACCAGAGTTCTTCTGAAAGCTGGGGACAACTGCTTTTAAACGAAAGAGGGAAGAAGAAATCTAAAAAGTCCCTGCAAACAAGCCCTGGGAGAAATGGGTTGCACACGCCCAGGTGGGCACTCAGAGATCAGCAGGGGGAGATTGCTGGCCATCGCAGGTGCACGGTCTCACTTTGTTAAAACGTCCACATTGTGGGGGACCCCGAGACACAGCGATCCCGGGCTCCAGTTCCTAAGACTCGTTCACGTGGAGGGTGGGTGGGGAGCCTCGAGGCACCTGTGCCCAAAAGAGAGAGTCTCATTCCCAAAGTCAAACCAAGGTGAAGCGGGCCTTCGCCTGTGCGTTCTGGCCGCGCCCCTCCCCGCAAAGGGTGCAGACTGGGGTGTCGCGGCACCCCCAGACCCTCCAGTCCTGTTGCAGCCTCCCGGGCTCTGGGTCTCACCTCTCCCTGCAGCCTCCCCCTCCGCCACCATCGCAGGAGTCACCGGTCTGCTCGGCAGCCCCAAGGCGGGCGGCAGGGAGGAGCCCCAGGACCACTCCGTCTGCTCCTGGCCCAGGCGGCAGCTGGGGAGCCCGGTGCCGGCAGCGATGGGTCTCCGGACAGCGCAGGAGCAGCCACGGCAGGCCCGCGCGCAGCCAGCGCCGACCCGTGGACGCGCCGGCCGTGGCGCCTGACTCCTGAGCATGCGCGCTGCGCTCGGCGCTCCCGGGGTCCCGAGACCCGACGACGAAGGGAGCGGGAGAGCGTGGGCCAGGGGCGCAGGGCGAAGTGCCCGCCTGGCCTTCGCTCGGGAGAGAGGCGAAGACCTCGCTGGCGGAAAAATCTGCGAGGCACCACGAACCTTTCTAGAGACCTGTCTATTTAAAACAGGATTTCACGATCACATAAACTGAGTTGTCAAGGTGTGTTGAAGGCTGGCTTGGTACACCTTTAAAGAAGATATAAAGGATTCAGTGAAGACCCTTGCGTGGTGAGGATACAGGGGACGCTGGAAAAAGGTCTTCCCTGGCCGCTAGTGATGCAAGCTTTTGTTTTTCTGTTTAGGATTAACCAGTGAAAAGAAAGTGTTTACTCCTGAACAGTAGGATAAATTCAGAGGCAAACTCCGTTGGCGATTATTTGAAAGCCCAACACCCTATTTGGATATTTTAGGAAAATTCTCGTTCTCTTCCTGCTTACTGATTCCTATTCCAACTGGGTTTCTTCGTTATAGTTTATTTAATGGAGGAAAGGAACACCAAAGAAAAGCACTACACGTTTGCATTAAATAGCTTGCATACAATCATTGTTCTGTTCTGTCACTGCTTTTTGAGCTGACCCTCCAGCGGATTTTCAGAGACTAAATTGCTTGCACTTGAGGTGACTGCTCGCTTCTCCCTCAGAAAAGTGAGTGGATTAGAACAATTCTAGCAACCCCTTAACCACCAGGCCACTAGAGTTCCCAATTTTTCTGTTGTTGTGTACCCTTCAGTCAGAACTAGCCTACAGCTGTCCCTCCAACCAATTTTCAGAGGCCATGGGAATTGATTGCCTATTTACAGCATCTGAACCAGTTAATCTGAGATGGATTGACACAGTGAGAACAGCAATGGGTTTGACAACGTCAAAAATGATGAGGATGCACCACAAGATAAAGGTAAA